GTTATGCAAATATTTAATAATTATATACAAAAACGTATTAGAAAATAAAACTTAATAATTTTTATGAATTCTTCAACTTTTAATAATAGTTATTAACATTCATATTAGTTATATTATATGATCGTGTTTAAATATCTATATATTTATAAACATAAAAAATTATAAATAAATTATAGTAATCTATATATATATATACATTACTATTAGTAAAATTTTACGACATGTAATTATTTTAAAGCTTAACATTTTTTTTATTTAATATGGTTAAATTAATAACAATAGTATAATTTAAGGAAAAAAAACTAAATAAATTATTTTACTTTTATTTTCGTACGGACCTAATTTTTTCAAGATCTTATTTCATGGTGAAAAAAAAGTATATATTGATTTCACATTTTTTTTCTACCTTACCCATCGAGCGAACAGCCCTATCGAAACTTTTTCACCACACACAATAATATCAACGTTTAACAATCAAAAACATATTTTTTTTTATCAAAAAAAAAAAACAAAATTGTTGCAGATGTTTTATAACATTTTTCATATTCGGATATTTTTTTCTTATTCATTTATTTGTATATACATAATATAAAAAAAAATGTACATTATATTCACAACAAACCTAAAGAGACCCTTTTTAAACCTGACTAAAATATCGCGACGACACAGTTCGTGTCTATCCGTCGACAAGTTCACAGCGGGCACGGCGATTCCGGAAATAAAGATCAAATAAAAAAATATTAGTTCCAAAAAAGGGATCGAACTCGGATCGTATCTTATTCCATTCATATTTGGTTGTGCACATTGTTTCTTTGGGTCAAAAATCGAGTATCGGAAACCATAAACCTCTCTGCAGGACGGCATTTAACAAGGTAAAACACATTACATTACAAATATTGGGGTGGTCTTTTGGGTTTTATATTGGAAGAAAAGAGAGACGAATTGAAAGCAAAAAAAGATTCGCCTATATAATCATGTCGTAAACGCCGTCGTCACGGGGTGTTCACAAGACCTACGTATAAAAATATTTACTATACGTACATCGATATTGGCCTACAAATTGATCGAGGGTCCACGAATCGCTATACAATAGGTTCATTCATGATTTCGATTAAATAATGTTCAATGGACTCGTGGTTAGTACGACTTGAATAATATAAATATATATATATATATAAAACAAATCATATAGTTTCAAAAGACGGCTACCGAAATACCAATTGACTCGTAAGTGTGAGATCTTCTTTTGTTGTTTAAAATATCCGATAATACATATACATTATATACATCATACATACATACAAATATATGATAAATAGGTATATAACATGTATTGATTGAAAATAAAAATAACTTCTCAAATGTGCGAATTACCGGATAAAATATATGATAAGTAGAAAAGTAAGAATATATGGTTAAATAAGATAGATATACACTAAAACACTATATAAATAAATTGAAAAATTAACTGTAAATATGATGTATAATTTATACGTACTATACACAAAAATTGCTGATAGAGGATAAGATCAAAATTAAAAAGAGAATCCGATTACAAAACACCCGACTTCACCGGTAAAACAATAATTTAAGGAAACTCACAATTTTGTTTAAGTAATCGAAATTAATTTTTCAAGTTGCGCTAGGTTGACTGTTTCATAAGAATGCACAATTAACCGATTTAGTATTCCAGGAATATAAATTTCGAAGAGAGTAAAAATACAAACGGAACTTATTAATTGAAAGCAAGCAAAAAAAAATTTACTTGTAGGTATAATTATTTATATACATATAGACAGTTGATAAATTAGTTTATTTAATAAAATGTCAAACCAATAACAAAAGGCACTATCTATACATATTACGCTAGAAAACATATGTTTTAGATTGTTTAAATGTATTGATTAATAAGAAAAAAAAATTAAAAAAAAACGTTATATGCTCAATTTGACATTATGAATATAAACTCAATCCAATATTAATTAAGGTATGGATATTCATTTTCAAGTTCAGCTGTTCAAAGTCGACACGTGTGTGGTAGACATTATGATGACGGGGTTGAAATAAAAATAAAAAAAAAATCAGTTACGTCTAACGGTCTCCTAATTTTTTTTTATCTAGAAAAAAAAACGAGTCGAAAAAAATTCCTTGAAATTTATGCGTTAGATTTATCCTAAGACAAAAAAAAACGTGTTGTGTAATACTCATCCCCTCGAAGGGTCTACTGTGGCAAGGTAAAAAAATTAAATAATAAAAAAGAGCCACAAGGTGTGTACAAATAATAGAAAGTAAAGACAAAAAAAAAAAACTCCCATGGTCCATGACCATTAGTAAAAAAAACATACACAGGCAAAGGCATCCTTTTGTTTAGGTACCAGAGCCGAATAATAATTTGCATAGTTAACCCTCTCGAGTCGCGGGCTCGGCGTGTTCCCATCGCTCGGCACTTGTGTACAGCGCGACATTTGCATAAGCCTCCGGGTGGCTGCGGCGCCGGGGCCAACCGGTTGCGATTGTTTTTTACATATTATTCAAATGCCCGGTGCGTTATATCATATGTATGTATATGGTTTTTTTTTTTTGCACCCGGTATACACACACGTACATAATAGCGGTGCGCGTACGTGACTATAGTTATATGGGTACGAGTGGACCGAAAAAAAATCCCATTTTTTACGACCATATATACTATCTGAAAATGTTAAAAAATCCTGCGAGGAGGGTATGTACACATTATGATTATTGTTCTATGTGTATACGTTCTATACGCGCTCAACTGCAGCGCGGGGCGAAAACACGCGCGGTCGGATAAGACGAAATAAAAAAAAAAAAGCCACCTTACCCTCGGTGTACATCTACATACCGTCACATCTCTTGCATATTAAATACACGTTTCTCTTTTATTCCGCGTCTCCACGGGGGATTGTAATTACGTGCGTATGGGGATGAGCTGGATAATTTTTTTTTTACTTCTGTTTTTTTATTCATCGCGAGTCCGTTATACTAAAATCTCACGGATTCGAATTAAGATGTGCACCAATGCCCGGGGCAAATTTTTTTCGTTTTGTCTTAACGGCTTCTACTATTAGGTACCATGTATAGACATAATACATTACATTGCTATAGTGCAGATTATACAGATATACTGTTCTTATGCGTAACGCTTTTTTTTTTCTTAACTTTTTTTTTGGTATCCGGAAGTCGGTTAAATGAAAGGGTATATCTACAGGGATGATAGTATTTTTTAGCATATGAACCGCCATAACGGTTTAAACGGAAAAAACGTAAAAAGTTGTTCGAAAACATGATTACATTATATACTCTGAAAACATTTAAGCTATTTATAATTTAAATCAATGCGAAATATAACCTAAGCTATCGAAAACTGTCATAATTGAATGTTTACTTTCTATACAAATGTAAAAGGCGACTTGAAATTTCTATACAATTTTAAGGTAAAATTTATATTGCTGTACAAACAAAAGCGTATTACTATGAAAACGAATCAATATTTTTTTATGAGCAGAAAATAAAAATTCATTGCAAAAATGAGTACGTCCTCAACCAAAAAAATAAAAAATACTAAATAAAAGAAAATATTTATTAACTTTGAAGTGAGACACCATTTTAATACTTCTCATCGAAAAAAGAAATAGACGGAATAATACATTTTACAATTCTAAGAGATTCAAATTTTATCAAAGTAAAAAAACATTTATCAAAGTTAACGAACAAAGAGGATTTCAAATGTTGAGATTATTTCTAAATTTTAAAAATCCGATAGATAAAACGAAAAACATTTATTTAATGTTCACGTCGAATAGATCCTGTTTTTAAATTGTTCTAAATAAAGTGTCGAGTAACATTCTAAAATTCGAACTGAGAACACAACAATGATGATATACCGGTTCACAATATTATTTTGGATATATAATTTTATTTCAGAATTAATCGTTGATCAAATTTCCAAAATAAATTTTGTCCAATGATATCGATAAAAAATCAATCACGTTCGATTATATATTTGTTCACGGTATAATATTGTTTTTGAATATAACGATATAAATCGTAGTGCGTATTACATAATATATAGTATATAGTTACCGACTCATCATTTTTTTTTCCAGTACAATGAGTCGTTACTTAATGCGATGTTTGTTTATTATTTTTCGAAATATGTACAAGTGTCATTCCTACATATTAATTTTTTTTTGAAATTTTTAAAAAAAAAGGATCACGGTGAAATTCTCGATTCTTTCGATTACCGCCGAGATAAAAGCAAACCGTACCGTCGCATATGTAAATTAGTGGACGTTTCTGATGATCAGAATAGTATGACGTAGTGTCGTAGTGAGGGGGTTTTCCAGGGGCCTCGGCCCCTGTTGGATATAAGGTGGGTGGCTGGGTAGACGCCTATGATTATATGCATCTAAGTAAAGTATAACAACGCTACACGAAAACTCGTATAATGTTACAAATTACTTAGTTACAACCGAGGCCGGCTTTAGACAAGATCAACGCATGCGATAGCACAGGATGCCAAAATCAGGACACGTGAAAGGCGTCAAAATTAGAATTAAATCTGATAAATCGTTGCGACGTAAATCATCTACTGTAGATAGAAAAAAAAATTAACGATGTGATTCAATATAAATTTGATTATTATTATAACTATCATTATTTATTATTTTATGGGCATGCAAGGATTGGCCACGCTTGTAGGTACAGTTTATAATTTTATAATTTATCATTATATTATTATAATATACGATACACCACTCTTAGCATTTAAATTCAAGTGTAAACATTAACTTTAGGCGGGTAGGTGGGTTGGTCAAAAAGTTGTTCGTCACGCTACTGGTAGGACGTACGTATTCGTTCAAGTGTTTTCGAGGTGCTTGGTGGTTTCGGATCTCTCGATCTTTGCTGCGCCGCGGAAAAACAATTCGGGCGCCGTTGACCGCGTGGGCCGTATACAAAACACGATTTGGATTACTCACCACGTCGACGGCCGGTGTGTTCCACATGTAATGCATCGCGTTGGCCGGGTCGGCAGGATGATGATGATGGTGCGGGTGATGGTGATGGTGATGCGTGGCCGCAGCGTTGTTCATGTGCTCGGCCATCATGGACATCCAGTGCACCAGACCGGTGCCGCCGGCTCCGGTGCCCGCGCCACCTTGCTGCTGCAAGTGCTGCGGGTGGACGGCTGACCCGGCGCCGCTACCGCTCCCGCATTTGTTGCCGTTCAGGTGGCTGTTGTTGTTGTTGTTGTTGTTGTTGTTGTTCAGGCCACCGGCGCCGGGTCCTAACGCCTGGCCACCGGCCACAGCTAGATTGTTCTGCTGCTGTTGCTGTTGCTGCTGCTGCTGCTGCTGTTGCTGTTGCTGCTGCTGCTGCTGCTGCTGCTGCTGCTGCTGCTGTTGGGCCTGTTGTTCCGGCGACGGCCACAAGAAAGCCGCCTTCTGTCAAAAACGAAAAAAATCCATCAAGGACACCGCAATAACATTGCAAGGGTAAAGCAACGCAATATCGTGAAGAATGAAACAACAATTATATACGTCCCTGATATGACCAGTTATATTATATGGATCGGAAACATGGCCACTTAAGAAATTAATAAATGAATCTTCTCAATGAAGAAAGAACATAGAGCTGGAAACATTGTATGGTAGTTCGAGTATATGGGAGGTTATCGGAAGTAGAAGACTACGGTGGGCTGGTTACGCTTAGAAGAGCCAAAATCCATTACTGCATGCAGTGATTGAACAAAATCCTGTAGGTAAAAGGCCCTTGGGGAGACCAAGAATGCGGTGGGAAGATGTTATAAAAAAGGATGTTGAACAGATGAGAGCTTACTCCAATCGGAGAACTCTAGCACTGGACAGAGAATGATGGAAGCTTGGTTATGAGATGGGATGGTCTTAAAGGCCCAATAAACCCTAAGAAGAAGAAGAAAAAGAAGAATAGCAACACAGACGCTGCCGTTCATTTTGAATCGACAAATATACGAGAATACGACAAAACAATGACGTAGAGAAGGCTTAAAACGTATACTCTTTTCTGTTTGATGCTAACCTTCGAAACTTTTAGCTCATAAGCCCCGTTTGTATTGTATTTAAATAACAATTTATTTGTACGTGTGCGTATACGTGTTTTTTGTGAGAATGCTCACGGGAACAGGTAAACGCATAAACGTCGTCCTATTAATTTTCTGAAAAATAACTTTTTTTTTAAAGATATTCATTGTGAAACATGGAAAAACTCAAAATAAAAATACATTAATAACGTTCATGATTATTTTTATTTCAGTATACACTACTGTAATTCTTATTCTTCTCAATTGCGTTACAGCGCCTGCACTTTTTATTCTATTATTAACACATAATAGTATATCATAACTGTGGTTAATTGGTGTTAGTTGCAGTCGAATGAGAATGTATAGAGTTTTTGATGTATAGTGACAAGCAACTTTGTCGTCTGAACTTTTAACAGACGGTTAAAAAATATACCAAAATGAATATTCTATAACTTCAACCCATCGATATTTTACAATACATTTATTTTCCATTTAACATTTTTAAGTTTTCACATTTAATTTAAACATGGGAAATTATAAAATAAACTAAATAAGTAATTCACAAACAATAATTTATTGTTGTTTAGTTTACATATAGAGACAGTAATTTTTACACAACTTGAGTAAATATTTTTATGAATTTAGATCGTGTTTATTCTTTTCTAAAATAACATTTATAGCTACATAAATTAAAATAACACTATATTTATTTTATGAAAGTAAGTAATAATCATTTATAATTCAAAACAAAAATACGAGTGTTATATTAAAATCATAAAAGAACATATTTTATATTTGTATTCATGAAAATATGTTGATTGACTATATTTTATTAAATGCTATTGTTTTTTTAATTCATTTTTAATTTTTTATTAAACAATTTAGTTTTAACTAGGACATAAATCTTATTGAAATATGTTTAAAAAAATTAAGTTGTTTCAGTATTTCACACATGCGTCTATTGAAACGTTAAGTTAGAATCGTCTAGATCGTCCAAGAAATGTATTTTTCCGCTTAGACATTATATATTTATATTATTTTAATATAATTTATTTTAAATAAAATCGTTAGTATATAATTTATGTTGTCGTACGCGTAATATAAATATGTTTATTTTAAATACCTAATTAATATTAATTTTTTTTTTTAAAAAGATAAAAATAAATAATAATTACAGTTGATTTAAAAATCACTTATTTTTAAATTAATATACATACAGAGGTTCTTCACTTAATATAATTTACCATGAGAACAAAAGAAAAACAAAATTGAGTATAAATATTTGACCAACGATTTATAATTCGAAATGACAAGTAAGTATTGATAAGGTCAAATATTTTTACTAATAAATAGATTTTAAGCATTATCAGATAATACAATGAAACTAAATTTTTTGCATCACTTTTATTTCAAAACTAATTTTATGTTAATATTTTAGATTTCAAATAAAAAACTAACTTGCAGTTTGGTAACAATGCCATAATGAAGTTAAAAAATAATACCCCCATTAAATTAAAACTAAAAATTTGTTATTATGGAACAACAAAAATAATTAATCCAATATTGCACAACCTTTGACTATTGTTTTCTATGTAAGAAGTGATACATGGTCATTTCTTACAAAAGTTTCAGATGAAAAGGGTTTCACGTTAAGGACTTTGACCTAGTTTTGAAGTTATGACTTTTAGTTATTTCTATAATCTACAGACATTAAACTTTTAACGGGTGACACAAACGTTTTTATTTTATTATACAATACCAGACAAATTTGATCAAGACTTGAAAAAGCTGGTACAAGTTACAATCTATTGAATATCATATTTAAATGTATAGACTAAAATCAGATAATAAAATTTTATAAATACTAACACGCATTTATAAAGTAAATTGTGGTTAAAAAATTTTGAATTGGTTTGACTATAAAAATGTGAAACAAGTATCGAAAGACTAATAAAGTAATTGATTTTTAAAAATACATACCACAAGTATGAAAAGTCGATTCGACTATTACTAGTGAAATTAAACAAAAATGCTATTTTTCTTCGAAACATCTTTTATTCGTTTTCATATATTTACGATTAAGAATTGTTTAAAAAAATCTATCAGTAAATACAAATGTATAAAAAAATAATGATTCTATTAGACTTTATTAATATAGTCATGGGAGGAAATAGATCGATCTTTCTTTAGGTTTATTTTCATTTTATCGAATTGGTCCACTCAAAATGTACAATAGGTTCGCATACAATGGAACTTCTTATGAAATGTTATTATAAAACCTCAAATCTGTGATATCAATAATGTACATATACTTATTTTGTTGAAAAATCCAACTTGTTAATATTAACTTAAGACCATATGCAGTTTAATATTCTTGTTTTATTTTATTTATTTTGTTAATCAAAAAAAGTTACAATTTAAGTTATTAATTTATTATAAAATTAAATTGATACTATTTTATTAATAATCACGTTTAAAAAAACAAACTAAAAATTACTAGCTTCATGAAATTATAATTAAATCAAATAAAGTACAATTAAAACTATTAATAAGCACCGAATTTTTTTTTTAAATGTTCAATAAAATTGAAAATCTTATTTCTCTACATAAGTGTCATGTAATAGAATTTCATTAACAAAAAAAATTACAAAAGATAATATTTTAATATATAAATACGATTTCTTACGACGTTCGATGGCTTTCTCATAATAAAAAAAAAAAAAAATATAAAGCTGACTTTATTTTATTATTTGGTATGTGGTGATCACACAAAAATTATGCCACACTTCATTATATAAACTAACGGTGATCCACGTGTGGATAACGTTTATCCGATAAATAGGCGCTTGTATACTCCCTTTTTATCATTCGGTGGATCGATACAATTATAAAATTTGGCCTTGAATATGGAAATTACTATCATATACACTTATATGAATGTTAAAGTTTACAACAGCTACACGTATACTAACAAATCAACCAGTTTTACTGTTTATTGGTATTTGTATTTTTTTTTTTTTTTTTTTTTTATTAACTCCTGAAATCAATAAATAGCATTGTACTAGAAACACATTGTATTGTTGGCTTTTAACATTAATTCAACTTTAAAACTCGCATAATTATATAATAAACAGAACTGGCTAATTGTTATTTGTCGATTGAGAACCATTTCTAACCAATTCGTTAAAAGAGAAAATATGCAAAACGCAACATTTTCCAATAAATTTAATTGAAACAGGGCTGAATAAAGAATCTTAGGATGAAATTCCTGTGTTATTTCTATCAAATATTCTTAATTATTGTATAATAATACTTATATGTAATAATATTTATATAAAAAAAAAATCAAAAACCTAATTAGTGAATGCAATATTATTTTTGTATTTATAATTAGTATTTAATTATTGACGGCGACTAGTCATTCGTATAAATATAATATAATAATTTATTATTAATGACAAATCACTGAATTAGAATTCACTTAAAATACACTTAATTATGAAGTTTAGTTTTCATGAAAATATATTTTGAAATGTGTACAAGATTTATACATAATTTAATTATTTTTTTTTAGATAAAAATTAAATATTTTAAAATATATCTGAATAATTGTTATTATAAAATTTAATAAAATTCAACACAAACGAAACTGATATTTATTAAACAATGATAAATGTTAAATTACGAGTGAAGTAACTAAGATAGAATTGATTAATACTACTAATGATTTTGACAGTTATCATCAAAATTTAAACAAAACAAACACCAACAAACATATATAAATATCGAATAATTACTACAGAGTTGAAAGAACTCATATAAATTAGGATACGACTATATAATAATAAATTAATAGTTTCAAATAATATTTTAACTAAACTCGCAATATTTTATCAAAAATTTCGAATTAAAAAAATATTGGAAATTAAATTCTATTTTGCACCAGGGTAAATTTTAATTCACTGCTCAAATATTTGACCAATTATTTTTAAGACTTTTAAGATTAGGTAATTAGAATAATTTATATAAATTAGCTCAACAGAATTGTTTGCATATAAAAATATAAACAAATTAAATTATAGGAAAATATTTAGGTATTCTAGATAACAATGAATAAATAATTACCTAGTATTACATTTAAATTTATAAAAACAAAAATAATATTCTTAGAATTATAATAATAAAGCCAAAATCCATTTGATTAAAAACCAGTGGGAGTCGAAAATTTACCATTCCTTAAATTGTTCCTAATTTACAATACGAGTATAGTATAATAAAAGTATAATTTAATATCAATATTTAACGTAAAAAAAGGAACAGACTTTTAAAGAATTGAACTTGAATTTTTCTTCTAGAATTAATTTGATGATTAAAGGAAAAGATACAAGTTATTAGATTAAAATTTAACTAACAAATTATTTAGACTTTTTTAACGTAGGCGATGACCTCACCGGAATACTGCAGGATTTACAAGATTTATAAAAATTCGTTTAAATTTATTTTTGATCTAGAAATATAAAATATTTAGATTTTTTTTTTACCATTTGTATATTTGAAAAACCTACACTTTTTTAGGTTTTATTTAATGGATATATTTATATATTTAAATAGAAAATACAGGTAATAGACTAATAAATTATTATCATAATTTTATTGGGGTTATTGTTTATCAGTATGCAACTAACGAAAAATAATTACACAATTTAATATATAACCAATAAAAAAATGTTATAATAAAAATCATCACAAAATACTTACACTATCTTACATTTTTTATTTAACGTATTTTATTGTTCCTTAATGTGTATTACCATATATTCCAAATTTTTTGTCAGTATTCTTATTTTTAAGTTCTATTCATCACTATTTAGTTTAAATGATATCATCATGTATTGTTTATGGGTATTTATAATGTTCAATAATAATTAACATAAAAAATAAAATACAAATATTTAACATAAAACAGTTATTGCTTTTAAAATGATTTTTTTTTTCTTTATTTGATATTTATCAAAATTATTACTAAATATTTGAAAAAAATTTAAAATATTTAAATAAACAATTGAAAAAGGATTTTATGATTATATATTTTTATTTATGCTCATATGGTCTATATTTAAATGAACAAAAACGTTTCACATCTATCGTTTATGTTTTATATATAGTGAAAGATGAACATTATTTTTCGTATATATTTCAAATAAAAAGTTATCAGTAAAAAACAACCAATTGTGATGAATTCGGTAGAAGTGAAGAAAGTTGCGTAAAAGCTTGACTTAAGTACAGATTAAATGCGTGTTACTATTATTTCGAATTGAGTTATTGTTTAATATACTTATTACGTAACCAGCCAATTACTTGGGTGTTTTTTTTTTTTTTTAAAATATGAATTTTAGACGTACGACGGAGGATAAAAATATTTGGAAAAAAAATCGTGTTTATAACCACGACTTCAAAAAGACGAAAAAACGAGCGTAAGTGCTTGAACGGGTACCTACAAACAAGGGGAATTTATTAAAAGTGGTGTAATAAAACGACTTGTGGAATTCGACGGGTCCGTGATTAAACGGTGTGCGCGTGCAGGGGGACGCCGCCAACATGATATAAGCTGAGATAATGTTACCGCGCTTGACGACGGGAGAGGTAGATTACTCTTCTAACGGTTACGTTACGGGCTGACGGTAGGGGCGTGTGGGGTAGGTGTGTTTTGCCCTTACGCCGGCGGGGGTGGTAATGAAAAGTTTCACTATAACACGTGCGCGCTGACGGCGGTGGTGTAGGGGGGTAGTAGTGGTGGTTGAAAATCGCGCCAAAACGACCGCCGCCGTCTCGTGTAATTACTCCGAGCCGGAAAATCGTATCACCTCCTGGTCGACGACGATCTTATGGTGTTGGCCGCCGCTGCTGTCTTCGTCGTCGTCGTCATCGTCGTCGTCATCATCGTCACCCGATGAAGTGGTGCTCGCGGACCCTACGCCAGCGGCCGGTTGCTGCTGCTGTTGCTGATGGCCGAGTTGCTGTTGATGGGGACCACCACCGCCGCCGCCATCACCGCCCAGATGCAAGTTGTGCACGTTGTGCGCGGTTTGGTGGTGGCCGGCACCGTGTTGATGGTGGTGGTGCTGATGTTGTTGCTGCTGGTGCTGCTGCTGCTGCGGCTGCTGCTGCTGCTGCTGCTGCTGTTGATGGTGCGCTTTGACGGCCTTGCCGAACGTAGCGGCCACATTTGCGGCCAACAACCGTTTGTAGTATAATGACGGGCTGAGCATCAACGACTCGGCCGGCCGCAGTTTGGCGGCCGTCGCAGCCGCTGCGGCCGCAGCTGCCGCGGCCGCTACGGCGGCGGACGCGGGCGACCCGTCGACGTTGTCTTCCAGTGTTGGCGGTGCCGGCGGAACGATCGGCGGAGGCGGTGGCTGAGGCGGAGAGGATCGCAGAAGTGGAAGCGGTGGCGGTGGCGGCGGCGGTGGCGGCGGCGGCGGTGACCGCGAGACCGTGTCGTCGTCGTCGTCGTCGTCCTCTTGTCGCTGCCGAGCACTAGACATTGCTCGCGACCGCAAAAATACTAAACCGAATGTTTTTCCGCGACGACCGACGTGTACGGTACGTGTGTGCGTGCGTTCGCGCGTGCGTGCGTGCACTTGGATGTGTGGAAAAAGTCTCGCGCTCGGGAAAACCGTACACAACGAACGATGCCGGAAAACTGAGAAGGGGAAAAAAATCGTCCGCGGCGGGCGCACACACACCTACACACACACATGAGATACATGCAAGACAAAAAGAAAAAAAAAAAAAAACTCCGAACGAAGAAAAGGAACAGGGTGGGCATCGTCGCGACGACGTCGGGGAGGTGCGCAATATGAGAGCGGGTGGAGCAGGCGAGCGAGAGAGAGAGTATTGAATAAAGGAGGGTCGCGGGCAGGGGAAGGCAAAGGAAAATGGAAACATCGTACGAGTTTAGGAGGTGGTGGAAGGGGTACATAACGTCTACCCACCGTCGACCCACCCTCGCACGCACACCCCACCACCACCCCCAACTTTTTATTATATATATTTTTTTTCGCCCTTGCACACTTATTGTATTTTCCCTTTTTTCCGAGGACGCGTTCTCCCTGTTCTTTTTTCTCGTTTCCTTTTTATTTTTATTTTTTATTCCATTTTTTTTTATTTTTTTTTTTTATTTCTCGTCGGGGTGTGTGTTTTCTTCTTTTCTCGGGTTGTGCATCTCAGATATGCGTGCGTGTGTTTACGCGCACGCACACGTGCACCTACCGCATTATCGTATACGTACAACAATAATTCGACTATGAATATTAAACGATACGCGCACGCCAAGGAATGAAGCGCGACGCGGCATCGCGGTCTGGGGGATAGAAAAGTGCGTGCGAAATCGAGCATGCAACGGACCGACGGCAAACAATTTCGTCTCTCAGGTCGTCGACGATGACGGCTGGTTGACGAGTCTGATGTGTCTTTGGTGGTAGAAGTGTTCGTGACGACGTTTGACGAGAGTACAACGTTCCTAATTGAAGCGGTTACGGACAGCAAGATTAGTTTTTGAAAAATTACTCAGTTTTTTATTATCTCGCGGACCAGAAAATTACCGTTCGAACGTAATACATAAACATTTTTAACGTTTTCGCGAGTGCAATAAAATATCGTTCTTCAATGATTTACGTGTCAATAATATCATGGAAATACGAACAAACAAAACCTATTTTAATATGTTACCACCGAAAAGGATACGTGTTCGAAAAACTCTTTTTAAAAAAACATCTGTTTAAATTATAATTTTACACGTAAGCTAATCAACGTTAAATAATAGTAGCGAGATTCGTCATGGACTAATGCAGCATTCCGTGCACTGTATTATTAAAAGCTAACAAATACATTAGTAAATAATTTCCGGATGAGTCGCAATAAATAGTTTTCAATCAAAACTGATTTCTCACATTTACATAAATTGTATGGTTATAAATAACTTAATTCAATTGAATTTTTTATTTTTACCATATAAAACTATTCGAAAAATTAAATACTGTGCAAATTCAAACCATTACAACATATAGACTTGTAGGAGACTAATTTAAAATATAAAAAAATATAAAAAAATACTCGCATTTTAGTACATCGAGTCCAGTTTATTTAACAATCGAAAATTTTAAATTGTGGTTAAACCCAAAGGATTTATTTTTACAAATGTATTTAATAAATTTTATAAATTTTACCAGTATAAACAACATGTAAAGTTTAATTCAGGGCTTAAAACCATTCCTAATAAAGTTGGTAATCGGCTACGGTAAAAGCCGAAAATTTTTTAAAACTGGTAACCCGTTATCGTTTAATTTTGATATTATAGTAATCGGTAACCGTTTCTTTAAGGTTATTTCAAAAACTATAATAACCGTTATTTGTTTAAAAGCCGATAATAAGATTTTTTGGTAATCGGTTACCGGTTAAAACTAAATTTTAAAAATCATATTTTTCAATTTTTTAATCATATTTTTAATGCCGTTTATTTAGGCGATTCGTGGGTTGATAATATAACTTTTATTATTACAAATTCAATAACTTAAAGTGATTATCGGTTTTCGGTTCTCAAATTTACGGTTTTTTACCGGTTTTCGATACAAACCGGTAACAGGTATTAAGCCCTGATTTAATTAATCAATAAAAAATGTAAGCATCATGATATGTATGCTCTTCTTTTAAAAGTTCAAATTATTTTATGAGAATTAAAGATATTTCTTATCGTTATTTTTAATTTTTATTTAACATTTTATACTTATATCCATCATTTTTTTTTTATATTTGTATAGCATACTATTTGATTAAAATACATTTTTATTAACAAATAATTTATATCATAAAGTGTTATGGTAATAACCGATATATTAATGCACATAACACATAAATAATAATAATACATAAAATAAAAACCAATAATATTTTTCAACAGAAATAAGATACTAAGGAAGTATTCAATTTAATACAAATAAAGTTAAATTGAAAGACTAACTGTAAATACTAGTGTATAGATTAACCATTGAATAATAATAATGATTAATAATAATGAATAATAATGATTAATTACGTTTTTTTCGAAATAAACCATTATCTACATTTTTTTTATCCGATGTGTAGAACGGTTAAAAATTATTAAATATTTAACAATCTATATTGCTAAATTATATTTTGGTTTACGAAGAATAGTAAACTTTAAATATCATTTTTTATTGAAATGAACGATGAGCTTAAAACAGTGTCACGTAATAGATTATAAAATCGAGTATATAAAAAATAGCAAAAACTTAATGTATCCATATTGTATGTATATTAAACATATTAGATCAATTATAAAGCAATAATAACAAATTAGTAATATTTAATTCAATATTGACCAGTAATTATGAATACAATTTTTATGTAATTCTTTGCAAAGGGTGACTGCAGTCATGTGTATGATTATTAATATTTAATTTACGATTAAAAATTATAAAAAAATGTTTTGCTTATCGAATAAATATATAAGTTATTATACTACAAGTTACAGTAGTGTAACATAAGTAGGTAAAAAATATAAATCATTTTAGGAAATCATGCTTGGTTCCATTAGTTGAAACATAAAATATTCATAAACTATAATGATTTGTCTGATGAATAACAAATAACACCAACGGATAGTATTATTAAGGATTTTTAATGAGAGTTTTGAAAAAAAAAAAACAAAAAAACTGTCTATATACCATCTAAATGCTGTCACTAAATGGCTTACTAGATAGATAGGGCACAAACGAATTACATATTGTATTCAACTATTGTTAACAAGTATAAGTAGGTAGTACAAGCCCAACCACAAGTGTTTATAAAAAGTAAAAAAAAAAAATAATAATGAAACCAAGAGCTCACATTTATAAATATGATCATGTATTTTTTAGATTTGTGATGGTAAAAAAAGAGGAGAGCTTTAAATTTTAATATCGTTTGACTCGTATAATATTCACCCTTTGGGACTAACACATCCGCCTTGTTATTTCATCTTTTTTTCTGAGGGTGTGTAAGAAAAACTCTTCAGTTTTTTTCCCACTCTCTCCGTCGCTTACAGATACCCTTTCAATTTTATTTCATTTTCCTAAACGCATTAAGTCTCTTGGATATACTTTTTTCAAATAGTTTTTTCTTTACCCCCTTCAGGGATTATCATAATAATAATAAATGATTTTAAATTACAAACAAAAAATACGCCTAATCATAAATATAAACGGCTTGTTTGTACTAAAATACCAAGGGTTTCCAATAACACAAACAAACATTGAAGGCGTGCTATGCTAATTTGGGGCCCGAGGTGCCAATTTATTCCGCCCAAATCACACGCAAAGGTGTCGCAGTAGATTCCTGTCGTGGAATTCGTTTAAAAAGAAGGTATAAAAACGGGTCATAGCAGGAAGTTAAAAAAAAAAAACATAAACACAACGTCATTTTACTTTTAGTAAGGGTTCTACTAATAAAATACAAACAGTAAATAATAAAAGTATTTTTGAACTATCATTTTAAATTCGACTATTACATCTATATGAAGTCATTAAGCATATTTAATGTGTATCTAACTTAATGTATGTAACTTTAATGTATCACTTGGGTTATTTTCCAGAAATAAAATCGCAATTCATAATAAAATTAATTTAAAATAATAAATTTATAATTTCTAAATAACTTTCTATAAAATTTCTTAAAAATACAATATTTTAATTTTAATATATTGATTAGATTATGTTAATTCATACGTGTTATACATGTACAAATTATGTGTATTTTAATCGAAATGCTATTATAATCAAACATTTATAATAACGAAATAAATCTAAAATGTATTTAAAGTAAATTTTGTCGTACTTAATTTTACAATTTATAGAAACAAAAAAATAATTAATACTTAAACAGTCGAAAAAAGCGGTTTCAGAAAAATATTGCACTTCTTTGACTCACTAAACACATATTGGAAGTACAAAAAGGAAATCTAAAACCTTTTTACTCCACTTAAAAATATAAAATAATTACAAATGCTCCATCTTATAAAAAAAAAAAAAACCTTATGATATTTTTCTTATTAAATTTAAAATGTTTTAGTTAGGTAATAAGAATAATGATAGTTAAATTTAATGTAAATAAAAATATTTAAATAATCATACTGTACTACAAAATAATTGGTTCATTTAATTTATTTATTAATAAGTTACATCTAAAAAAAATCAATGATGAAAATAAAGAATTTAAGCAAATTTAAAAAAATCTTAAAACTGAAATTTACTCAAAGAATATTGTATTCAAAATTAATTATTCTTATAAATTATTAAGTATTATATATGCACTTATGAATTGTCGAGCTATTGAATTATTTAATTATAGAATTAAAAATTTACTATTTGCATTTAAACATTAAAAAACTATTACGTTATAGTGTTACATTATATTGTATTATATATTTAATTGAAATATTATATTACAAATATATATTTTATACTCGTACAATCATAACTTTTAAACATTTTAGAAATGTGATCATAAAAAATTGTTTGATTAATGGTGTATAGTAAAATGTATAATAATACACTAATTATGAATAAAATAATGAATCCGATTTTAAATTTAATATGTTTCTAAAATTGAAAAAAAAATCTTATTTATATTTAGGTTACAGTA